ATAAGTTAAGTTTAACCAAATATTATGGTAGTAAATCAATTTACGATCAATAAATATTAGAGGAAATATAGTGCTGCGTCCGCACTGTATCATAAGTAATCTACTATTATGACAGATGTCATTTCAGTTTACATTGACAACGAAGTAATAAACCAATATTAGTTGGAGCATACAGCGTTTCTCAACCTTTTGAGAGCATACAGACTCAATTGCTAAGACGATTTCAATAGTTCGACAATTTGACACAAGGTGACAGCTGTCATTTCGGGACACATAAAAAAATTTACACGACCCAATCTGGGATACACTTGATGTGCATCTATCATTCTTGTATAGTATTGTTGTAACATTATAGTCTTCATCTAATAAAACTAAATCGTATATTTCAGGGGTGGACAAACTGTGGCTCGCGAGACGCTTGCAGCTTTTCAAGAGTCAACAAAACACAAATATTATATATATTTTATATTATGATTGAGATTTTTTTAAAATTATTATACCAAAAAGTTTAGGTGCGCAAAAAAGCGAAAATAAGTTCTCATTTTACGAAATTAATTAAGGAAATATTTTGAAGTTGTACTGTCTAATATTATTCTAAATATAGTTGGGTTCATTCAAATTAGAATCTTTCCAAGATTTTTGGCGCCAGTGAAATTATTGCGTCAGATACAATGAGGTGACTTGAAGTAAAAGTGATTGCATCAACCAATAGATTTTTTTTCGCAGAAACAGTACACTACAATTACTCATAACACATATATTTTATTTCATACTTGCATTCATTTTTTTTGCATTTGCATATTATTTATTGAATTCCATTAACATGAAACTGCGAATTAAAAACAATAAAACTTTGGTATTTCAATGTAAGTAATATATGAATATGTTTTTTAAACTAGAAATTAACATAATTATTTAACATGCATAATGATAACATAATGGAATTTTAAAATTTCTAAATACTTACATAATAGTCACAAAATCAAAACAATGACAAACTATGTTATTAATAGTATTTTTGTGTAAACAATATTTGATTAATAAATTTCAAGGTGTAAATATAAAAACAAAGTGGGTACATTTCCATTACAGAAGTTACTCTTGTCAGAAGGAAGGAATGTTTCCAGAACAGTTCATGTTTTAAATTACATGGCTTGTGCAGCCAGACACACTTATTCTGTTTTTTTATATGCCAGCAAAATCTTTGGTTTATATTGGTTCATCTGTAAATATTTTTTAAGTGTGTTTTTATTTTCTTTTATCATTTCTAATTTTATTTTGATTTGTTTCATCTTCAAGTACTTTCGAATTCCTTTCAGATACCCACCAAACGATTCCTTCCATATTTCAAATTTACATATATGTTTTTCTCCAAGATCAATCATCATCGTACGATATTCGAATGTTATTTTAAGCAAAGAAACTTCGGTTGAAGGACAGATGCATTAGCATCTATTTTTGAAGCGATGTTTTGCTCGCTTCAATATTCTCAATACCAGATTAGGACAAATCTTTTTTTTGTATTCATTTCCTATATTCATCAATTTTAATGATCCATCGCAAGTCATCATCTATATTTTTCCTCTTTTGTTACGAAACTATCACAAAGATTTATAGTAGGATTTCCATTATCTTGTTACAAGAATATAAGTTATTATCATACATAAATCCCCTAATTTAATTATATTATAAAATACACATTACATAATGCTTACGGATAAATCAACCAGATGTCATCACTAAAGCTAACTTTATAAATTTTATTTAACATGACAAAACCAAATAACTACTTAGTTTTTAAAATTGCTGGAAAATCCAGATATTGATTTGCAATGGTTGAAAATATTGTGTTAGTTAAATTGTATTTGTTGAAAAAAAAAATATATTTTCAAGGTCATAATTAACAAAATATCTTCAAAATCTTTGGTGTTCTCATTTTATTGACAATTGGTATTGTCATTTTATTGACATTTGGTATTGTCATTTTATTGACATTTGGTATTGTCATTTTATTGAAATTTGGTGTTCTCATTATATTGACATTTGGTATTATCATTTTTTACCAATAAATATGTTAAATAATAATAAATTGCGGTTGATATTTTAATGAGATGTGATAATGTCAATAAAATAAGTAAATAATGAAAATGTGGTTGTCATTTTATTGACATTTGAATAAATTTTGATATACAATTGACGTAAATAGTTATTAAGTTGACATTTTACAAAATCAGTAAAATACGATTCACACTTTATTATCAATAAAATGACAAATCTGGGCTTACGTATGCCTTATAAATTGGGATGTACTATATAGTAAAGTCTCCTAAACATGATTTATTGGTATATTATAAAATTGCCATAAAAACACAAACAATTATTTTCTTACAAAAAATGCGAAATGGTTTTTGTCGTAAAAACAAACCCATTATAAGTTTGATTTATCGATCGTTCGATATTTTATTGACATTGATGTCAAAGTCATGTCAATAAAATACAGTTTACGTAAATAACGATTAAATAGTTGACATTTTATTGACATATGGTAATGTTATTTTATTCTAGTCAACAAAACTTATTTGACATTTTATCAATATGTACCAATGTATAATAACGGTTAATAAAAATCATGAAAATATGGTTATTATTATATTGATGTGTGACAATGTCAACAAATGTGGTTGACGTTTTATTGACATTAACCCATAACTAACTTCGCTCCTGTTAATGTCTGTAAAATAAGTAATTAATAAAATTGTAGTTGTCATTTTATTGACATATATAACAAAGGTAGACATCTATGTCAATAAAATACTATCATTATATAATAGTTGTCATTTTATTGAAATTTGGTAATTTTAATAAAAATACAGTGGAATCTCGCTTGACAAGTTTAATCTGTTCCAAAATTTCCGGATTTTTACTCGTATAGTGAAACATATT